AGGGGAGAAGAAGATGGGGCGCCATAGACATAGCAATTCCATGGATGGCTCTTTCACCTCCTCGTTTGAAGCCGAATCCACCGTCGTAATTGATAACTCGAAGAAGGCCTTGGCGCCAGATAAACTCGCTGAACTTGCTTTAATGGACCCCAAACGAGCTAAGAGGTAGTTGATTCCTTCATCTTCTGCTTCGTTTTCCCATTGATTTTGTTATTTTCCTCGTCTGATTTTCAAATTCAAGTTGAACTCTGATCAAGTACTGATAATGGGTTGTGATTATCTTCCAATTTAGGATTCTGGCGAATAGACAATCTGCTGCGCGATCCAAGGAGAGGAAAATACGTTACACTAATGAACTAGAGAAGAAGGTGCAGACACTTCAGTCAGAAGCAACTTCCCTTTCTGCGCAGCTCACAGTGCTTCAGGTACACCTTCTATTCTAAGGAAGATGAACACAACACAGCAAGAATCTTTTCAAAAGTCTTGTGGGTGGGCTGTAGCTATCAAGTGGACTTGTAATGCTGATGGAAGAACTCGTGACTTTGACTTTCCAAAAGCTGCTTTTCTTTGCCTTTTAGACCTGTTGTGTTGTGCAGACAAAGTTAGAAAAAGATGGGAATTGGTTTTAAGTAATTCAATCAACTCATAATCTAGTATTTGTGCAGAGAGATACCACTGGATTGAGTGCTGAGAATAGGGAACTCAAACTGAGGCTGCAGGCCATGGAGCAGCAAGCCCAGCTCAGGGATGGTAAGTGCTTTTGTGCTTCTTCAATCATCTTCAACAATGGTTTCATCTTTACACTTCAATTTTTACAATGTTTGGTGGCTTTGGGTTGCAGCTCTGAATGACACCCTGAGGGAGGAAGTGCAGCGGCTGAAGATAGCTGCTGCCCAGCTGCCTGCTGCTAATGGCAGCAACTCATTCAACACCGGAGGAGGGCTGCCCCCTCAATTCCCTACTGCTCTCCATCCATCCTTGCTTCAGTTTGGCGACTCTCCGAATCATCGACACCAACAGCTGCTTCACATGCCTCAGCCTGATGCTCAAGGAGTGTCTTCGCTGTCCCAGCTTCCTGGAGGTTAACCACCCGGTCCAGTGACATCTTTAGATAATCCATTGATATTATATTTGGGAAGCTAAGGAATTGTAACCCGTGTCTTCTACATTTGGATTTGTATCAGTATACTTGTAAAGAAAAAGAAATACATGTACAGAAAAGCTGCATGAGGATTGTATTGTACTACCACTCACACCCAATAATAGGGCTCACTTCTTTCTGAACATGCGGCAAAAAGTTCATCCCTGACTTTACCTCCTGTCATAAACAGTTGCTCATCATTTAAAGATCAAGATCAGAACATATGATCTCATTTCATAAATACTCGAAACACACTGAAATAACTTTAGCCATTCATCAATAGTCGAACCACAGTCGCCTATGACAATCAAAATTCAAGTGAATCTAGAGTTTCACTACAAAAATAAGCAACACAACAGAATACAACTTCCACAAAAGAATTATGAACTCTTGTTGTGATAGTTACAACGACAGTTCTCACTTCCTATCTCGCTTGCCACACAAGGAGGTTGAGCACCATCGTACTTATACCATTGTGTGCGTTTTACAACAAGTTCAATTAGGAAATCATCCAACCTATCTTTGTTAACATTGGGCATCACCACAACATGGCAAATATTTCCTTCACAAGCTAGCTGCCACTTCCAAATAAACTCATGGTTATCGGGTCGTTCAAACACGACTGTGCTGCTGAGTTCATTCAGCATGACACTAATTCCGGCCTCTTGAAGCCGGCCTTTCAGGTAGTGTGCATTTCTGAGACACTTCTGGACATCCTTTTGGAACCCTGCATAGCCTTTTCTGTTGAGGGTGTACCAAAGGAAGATAGGAGCATGGCCATTCCGGCTTCCCATGATTGTGGCATCTCTTGAGGCTAGATATTCAACATTCCTGGCGAGGGCATTTATATGCTCCAACCTTGTAATCTGAACACCACAGGGCATTGGACATCCAATGAACTTGTGGCCGGAAACACTAACACTTCCGATGGGCTTCTTAAACGTGACCGTTGGTGCCTGCTCAAAAACCACACTAGTGAGCCGGGATGGATTACTGAAATTTAGACTGAAAATTACCGGCAAAAATTTGCTGTTCTGTATTTGCTTTTGTTTCAAGTGAGACAGAATGGTGAAGAGGAATATAAAATCAAAAGGTCAATCCAGGTATCTTTTAAAGCTTAACATGTATAGAAATAATTCTGTCGTTCACTAATCAAATGTTGCATGCCAACTTTTCATTACATTGTTTACTTGATTCATGATCGAGTTCATAATTCAAAATTAACACATTACTTAGAAAACAAATAGTACAAAAAGTTGATGCATAACTGGATGAATAGTCCAATATATTAATATATATAGGAAGAAAATATTCAATCCATTAATCAACGGTTTCCCCGTTGGATTTTATAGGCTTTCTTTTAGCCTATCCCAGCACAGCTAGTACGGAAGAATCGGCTGGCACCCAGGAATTAATTGTAGGATAGGACTATAGGAGAGTAGCAGTTGGATAAGTGACCACTTGCTGGTAGAAAAAAACATGCAGTGTCTAGGAGCAGTGGCTCGGCAGGAGAAAGCAGTGATAGAGCTAAGCATAGATTGTACGGTTTATCTTCAATCTAAATACATTGAGAGGCCCGATACTGTATATGCTAGGAAATATCCTATAGTTACTACCGACAGACTTGCTAACACAATACGCACCCACCGTATATTTTAATGGCTTTACAATCTCTGTCAGTTTACACAAAAAGCCAGCTCCACCGTTACTCACATCCCTACATTACATACTACTCACTCCTTTCTCACCCTCTTCTTCAAGCACATAAAGTGAACGGGAGGCCAAAAGTTCCTATTAATACCGCCACCCAAACTTTCACCTTACCCTCCCCTCAAGGTGGAAGGTCAGAAATTGATAGATAGATTTAAGTCCTTTTTTTTTGTTACAAGATAGTTAGATTAAGTCAAACACCTCCACTGTGGCCTCTTTTGGTTGTTACTTGCACAGGAAGAACACTGGTTAGACTTTCAATGGCAAACACAGTTATTACCATCCTACTTCGGTTGGTTAAGGAGAAAACGTATTGGTATACCATTTTTGGGCATGGTGAAAGAGTCCATAGAATGCTACGCCTTGATATCAAGCCAAATAGCAAAGCATATGCGAGGATCAGTGACTATTGTAGATTTAAGAGATAGGAAAGGAGTATAAACTACCACACTACCACAACACCAAGGGAACTCCATGAGTAGATTAGTGGATTAACTGGATGAGGACTCTCCTTGATATCAATCACTTTTCTAAGATAGCAAAAATAAGAGAAGCAAGATTCAAGAAGGTTGGGTGGGAAGTAGTATGCCAAATACACCATGTTCTACCAGAGCAAGGCCCAATCATACTCAAAAGAAGAGTTTGATCCTGGCTCAGAAGGAACGCTAGCTATATGCTTAACACATGCAAGTCGAACGTTGTTTTCGGGGAGCTAGGCAGAAGGAAAAGAGGCTCCTAGCTAAAGGTAGCTTGTCTCGCCTTTCAAAAGCGGTGGGAACTGTTGAGAACAAAGTGGCGAACGGGTGCGTAACGCGTGGGAATCTGCCGAACAGTTCGGGCCAAATCCTGAAGAAAGCTAAAAAGCGCTGTTTGATGAGCCTGCGTAGTATTAGGTAGTTGGTCAGGTAAAGGCTGACCAAGCCAATGATGCTTAGCTGGTCTTTTTGGATGATCAACCACACTGGAACAGAGATATCGACAAACTACCACAATGGCAGAGAGGAATCTTGGACAATGGTTGAAAGTCAACCTAGCAATATTGGGTGGGAACTCATCAAATTGTTTCGGCCAAATCTTAAAGGAAGCAAAGAGGTGTTTTTTAATGAGCTTAACACTATAGTTGGTGAAGTAAAGGTTGCCAGTGATACTTAGCTAGTCTTTCTGGATGATCTACCACACACTGAGACATCGTGGGACTCCCACAAGGGCAGCAGTGAGGAATCTTGGATAATGGTAAAGTCCAATCCAGCAATGTACGAGCGTAGAAGGCAACGTTGCTTCTAGAGCTCTACTGTCAAATGTGTGATACAAGATTCGAGGAAGAAGCTCCAGCTAACTCTGTGCTTGTAGCCACGACAAAACAGGGGGCAAGTGTTCTTTTAAATAATAGGGTGTAAAGGTAAGATAAAAATGATTGGAGAGAAGGACTCGATAAGCAACCAAGAATTAAGGTGAGATATGAAAGTAGCAGCTGCACAAGCAATTATCCTCGCTGAGATAGTTAGAGGATTTCTATGTAGCCAAGTTCCTTCAAGTCAATACACAGCCTACATGGATTTCTATGTTGTGGATGTAATTAAGCTTGAGCATACCGCCAACTGCCACATATATGTATGCCTTTTAAGCAAAAACAGCGAAGCTAGAAACATGCATTATGAAAATCGTAAGTAGGCAAGTCAATGACTTACACGTTTGACAAAAGGCATCATAAGTCCAAACAATGCCCCGTCACAATGAATGTAGAACCGATCATTTGAGAACCCACATTCGTTGAGAGTTTGTATCACAAGATCAAGATCATCGACAGCTCCTTTCACCGTGGTTCCTGTAACAACAATTCACTCAATTCCCGCCAATAAAACGAATATATTCCCCTTATTAGTAGCAAACAGGCAGAAATAGGGAGGGAGGGAGAGAGAGAAATTACCAATATTGACATTGATTATAGCTGGTTTATCTTTGTTAGCGAGCAACTTGACTTTAAGATCAGCACAATCGATCTCGCCAGAAACCAGAGTGTGAACATTCTCACAGTCCATTCTATACATTCTTGCGGCTTTGAAAACGGAATAATGGGATTCCCGAGAAGCATATAGAATCCCATCTGGAAAAACTTCTCTCCTACAAGAACCGATACCAACAGTTTCACAAACTGCTGAAAAGCATGCATAAACAACATACGAAGAAAAAGTTAAACTCAATAAAAACTAACCCGATGAGAATCCCATGAAGATTTCCTTCCGTGCCGCAATTTGTGATGTATCCCCAATACTCATTTTTCTCAATCTCCCAAAGGCGAGCAAACCAATCCAAGACCCCAACTTCAAACTTCCTCGAGTGCACACCGTAATTGCTTTCAATGAACGGATCCCCGAGATTGTTAATCGAGAAATGCTGCAACTGCGCCAGAGCACCGTAATCGAAGTCCAAATTATAAGGGTAACCTAAAACACGAAGAAGGGAAATACAAATCCAAATCAGAACAATGAAAATTCGACGAGTAAGATCTCGCAAACGGAAAAACAAGACGAGTTTCAAAAAATGAAAAACCTAAATGATATCTAGTCCTCTCTATGAGATTCATTCGATATCGAGCCAAGATGCTAGCCATGTAGGCTTCCTTGTCGCCGGTGAAATCTTCATCGTCAAAGGGCTCAGTGATGGCGTAGCAGGTGGTGTGGACATTTCTACCAAGCACAATCTCCCTCTTCCCGTTCTCATCGGCTTCCGCTGCGTGTTCTCCATTGAGATCCCCGTCTTTGCTCCCCGCCAAGGGTGGCAGAGGCTCGACAAACACAGGATGCTCATCAAAATTCCCCATATACCTCCCAGCCTCATAGTCGATCTCTTCCATTTCCCTCACGATGGCCTCCATTATCACTGTCTTCCTCTAACAAAATTCTGAGTGTGCCTTCCTGATCTTAAAACCGAATAAAAAATTACACTCCAAACAAATTACTGAAAATGTAAATCAATGAGAGAGATCAAGAAACAAAACCTGAGTGTCTTCGTGCTCGAGAGAGAGAAATTTGTTAGAATCGTGTGGCGAAAGAGAACTAGCGAGTGAAATCAGAAGTTCCCACCAGCGATGGCTTTATAGGGGCCGTAATCTTGGAGGCTGGCCAATTTGATTTCTTCTTCTTCCCCACCCCACGATTTCGCTCCATTTTTTTTTTCTCTTTTCTTTTTTCCCTGAGAGTTATAATTATAAATATCAATCTTTAAAATATCTTAAATTAATTAGTTGAAGAGTGAGTAATTCAAACATTTTTACCCGCTCAGGCACAAAATTGGGGTCACGATCACTACCATTCCTTTAAACGACTCTTCGTCAGGTTGACATCATTGTTCAAAAAACTTCTATGATTCAATCATTGTGTTGAGATTCGACAGCATGATTTAGATATCCTTCTTTATCATGACAGGCAACTGTGAAGACAATTATTTCAATCCCTCCATTAATTGAGGATTGTCTCCCGACATCATTGAATGTGGATAATTATTTTCGTTCACATATATGACGATAGTACGTGATCAGCACTCTTCTAATATTATCTTTAGTGATCTTATTTCTTTTCAATACAGTGTTGTTTTTTATAAAAAAAAAAATTAAGAAAAAACATTTCTACGCCCATAAATTGCATTCAACGCTATTATAATAATAAATTAGTAGACTCAATTAAACTATTTGTTAAGTTTTCGAGTAAAATTTATTAATGTGAGGTTAGATAACTATTTCGATTTTTTAAGAAGTATGCTTATTTTTTTCAAACTTCGAAAATAAAACAAATATTTGAAAACTACATTTATTTTATTTGGACTGGATTTTAAAAATAGTTATAAGAAAAACCTATAACATAGGGATGTGGGTGTAGGTGATATTTATAAACTTTTCACAACAGAGTAAAAGAACGAAATAATTATTAAATAAAGCCTACATAATTGTTAGAGAGGAATTAATTTTAAAATAGAATAATATTTACCTCCACCTTCTATTGATTACATTAGGTCAGTTGTCATATATCTTTTAACCTAAGAGAAGAGAGTATTTTTTATAAATAAATTCTTGTCAAACTTTATATTCTCCAATGACATTAGATATTTTATCCACTAAATTTCATTAAAATTTAAGACAATAGTTCTAAAATTTTGGGTTATAGATTATTGATGACAAGCGGTGTAAACATTATTATTTGAAATATGATGTGATATTGAATTCATTAAAATTGTCAAATAAAAAATATGTAGGTATTTTCCAATTAACACTAATTTTCGTGTCGTCACAATTTTTAATTTATATATATATATATTTCTTTTTTTCCTTTAAGAATGAGTGGGGGAGATTTTATTATTGGCTGGGGAGGCATACACTTGTCTAAAGTGGATCCCACCAGAAGTAATTGAATATTCTTGTGGAAAATGAAAAGAAAGCCGACAAAAAACCCGAATCACGTGACTCGCTTTGGAATCTCCTCAAAGGCCACGTTTACATTTATACCCCCGGATTGCTTTCTTCTATTATATACACATTTATTATATTTTATTTTGTGAGGGTGGTCTTTGGGAAAGGAAAAATATCTCGATTTTTTTTCTGTACAGGGATAGGAAATAAATTTTCCGACCTGTCCCAAAATTTCTATAATCCATTGATTTTTTTTCTTTTTAACATCTTGATTGATTGAAAATATAGGTAAATTATTGTTGAACTATGCTCGTTTAGATTCCTTTTTTTGTTAAAATATAGCATTGACTAAGTAGTTGAATGTTCTAATCTTCAACATTACCTTAAATTAAAAAGAAAATTTTATTTATTCATGTTTTATATATTTTTTTAATATCCGTGAGTGACTCGATCAGTTTGATGCTGTAATTTTCATGGGTTTGAACACATTTCCTATCAATTTATTTTAGTCCTTTTGGACTAATAAGACACTCATGATTGTTATTCATTGTATTGCATTTGAGTTAATAACAACTTATTGTTTAATCTAATATTTTTTTTATTCCTATAGAAAATTATCCTATTAAAATGTTGGCATATTACCCCTGCGTCTACTTTTAAATTCATATATTGTCATTTGTTTAATATTTATAGTGATAGTAAAGACTTAATTGGAAAAAAAAATTAGTACATAAAGACATAAAATTTTAATTAAAGATTAGAAACTAAAATATACATTTTATCTACTTTTGAAAGCTGATTATTTAAACTAGTAAATAATCAAATGCTTTTCATAAAAAATAATTTATTTATAATAAATATATAATGAAATGTCTTTCTCGTCAGAAAATCTTGATTTTCAGATGGAGATTCTTGGTCTTGACCACTGTTTTTCAAATTAAGAAATGTGGTGGAAACAATAATAAAGAAATCTCCACGACCACCAGGTTGGAGATTATATTTTACAATATATATTTAATAATAATTTTAGATTATTTTTCATGCCTCCAATTTGTTGGAAAAAGAAAAAAAAAATGCACGCAATTCAAGACATGTGATTTAAAATATTAATTTATATGGTATCATATAAAACATTACTTTTAATATATATACGTCACATAGTTGGGTTACAATTAAAAAAATAAGGGACTTACAGAGATTTATAATAAGTAGCTGCATCAATTTTTTTTAAATTCTATTTTAATGTGGGATCCTTAACCTACATTTCAATACCGTTCCGCCTTAGAGGAAAGCACCCGCGCGAGCGGTGGTGGACGAAGCGGAAGCGAGAATGTCGGCTTGAGTAACGCAAACATTGGTGAGAATCTAATGCCCCGAAAACCTAAGGGTTCCTCCACAAGGTTTGTCCACAGATCAGGGCGAAAGGCGTAATCGATGGACAACAGGTGAATATTCCTGTACTATCCTTGTTGGTCTCGAGGGACGGAGGTAGTTTTTTTGGACTTACCAATCTTGTTGGAATTCTATTTTTTTTTTTTACCAGATACTTGTCTGATATTGTTAGGATATCATATCAATATTCATAGAAATGATCTCAAAACTAAATAGTAATGAGAGAAGTAGTTCATACATATTATAAATCTTTGTTAAATTCCTTAGATTTTCACTATGAGATCCTTAATAATCACGACTCAAACTTTCAATCCAGACTTATTACATACGAGGACAAATCTAAACTAAACTTACAGTTTAATAAGCACTAATTAATATAGACATTAGGCATATGCTACAATTAAAGCATATATATATATATATATTGTACCTAAAAAAAAGAAAAAATTAGAGCAGATATATTAGCATTATATTTTATTTATGAAAAAAGAATAAATGGCCTTTCGTCCACACGAAAGGGCTTTTATTGGGCCACGTCATGTGCATACATTTTTGGATAATGATTTTTGAACTCACTTTCGGTATAACGATCAAACCCGGCCCACGTTGACATATGGGCATGAAGATACCAACAAAACGACCCCGTATCCATTACCATTTTTCAAAAACGTGATCATTAATCCACACAAATAATTTATCTAATTTCTCAATTATTTTTGGATTTTTCTACTTTCTAAAATCTAGGCTTCATATTTTGTCTCCATTGCCACGTTGGACACATTTTACCTTAATTTTCAAAACTAAAAATTTAACCTCAGTTTAATAACCATTTCTTATTATGTTTTTAAATTTCTTGAAAACATATTTGAAGTCTTAGCCCAAAATTTTTAAATATATTTCTAACTCTATATATATTTTTTAGTTTTTATAATTTTGCTTAGATTTTGACTTTAAAAAATATAATTAAAAACATGCAGATTAAAGAAAAGACGTGTGTGAAAGTAGTATTTCCCAGTTTAACGTTGAAAAGAGAAAACTAAGAATAAAATGATTACTAAACAACTTCTTAATCAACGAGACTTCTTTTTTTTTTTTTTTGCCTTTTCTTTTCATTAACAAATTAGGATTTTTAGATAGTCACATTGGGCTGATTAAATACAATAATTATATAATGCAGTGGTAGTAATAACATAAAGAGATATCACAAGATACTCGAGATTATTGTATGTTTTCATATCCTAAATATATTAAAATAAATATTCAATTACAAATTTTATTTTTTAAAACAAAATATTCCATTATAAATTTGATCTATGTGATTTGGACATAGTTTTAATATCGTTTCTATAATTTTAAAAGTTTTAATTGGATTTATTCGAACTCATCTCAGTGGATAGGACATCTATTATTATCAATTCCACCTTGCAAATTGCAATTATTGAGCTCAATTATTAGTTTTGATTTGGTTCCTACCATTACATAAACTTTAATTTAGCCCCTATGACTTTGTTAAATCTCATAAATTATCCATGTTACAGAACGTTATCGTATTAAATACGCCACATGTTTTCTATTTATGTGACAATAAGTTAGCGTGTTAATGGATTAGATTGAAGCTTACTATTGAGGGAGAAAAAAATAAATAGAAAAAGAACTATGGAGTTTTCGAGTGGATTAAACATAATTTAAGGACTACTCATGAAGTCTTAACAAAAAATTATAGAAGTTAAAAACTAAATCCAAATTATAGATATAAATTTAAACTTCTAAAATCATAGAGACTAAATTATTAAAAATATACTCAAACCAATTATNAGAGTGATTATTAGTTAAAGTTAGTTTTTCACGTTTGTGTGGGGCAGTTTTGAGATGATTAAATTTTGAACAAATGAAAGAGGTGTTCACTACATAATTCACGTGGGATGGATAATATTGGTTGGCAATTGTCCTTTCTTAATCTTACTTTTATAATTATATTCAGATAAACCTTTTTTTTCATTTTAATATTTAACTTCAATAACATGAAGGTTGAAATTCGAACATTTGTATAATGTAAATATTGAAAATTTGAAATAAAAATTACTGTTTGGAGCTAATTTCTTTTTATTATTTCACAAATATATAACAAAATTCTAGATACCAAGTCAATTGAGTAACACATATATCCCAATAAAATATCGTAGGTTCGAACTCCCACCCTACACCCTACATGTTGTACTAAAACAATTAAATCATGGACAATCATATTAAAATTATGGGGAAAATAGACCGGAAATATGAACCGAGAGACTAGAATTATGTCAAGTGACTATCATAGGTAAGAACAAGAAAATTTATTAAACTCTAATACACAAATGATAAGTATGCTTTGGTTTTAATTTTTTCCAAACCCAGCAGACGCTATAACCATGAATTTGAAATAGATGAATGTACTGTACAGAGAAGAAAAAATGACTAACCTGTTTTGGAATACTCATTAGCTGAAGTTTCTTTCCAAATCCTGCTTCAGTTCTAAATTTAGTCTTTGCCCCAGCTGCGGAATCTATGGGCAGGCAGGAGACAACCTGGAGAAACCGAAACATCTTAATAGCCAGAGGAAAAGAAAGCACAGCAGAATTGTGAAGATACACTGTTGGCATGATTAAATAATTGGATTTACTATGATTAACAAGAGTATAAAATTATAACTTCACATCCCTAAGTTTTTAGTTTCAGTATCAGTAACCTATTTATTGAGTCTCATTAATCAAACTAATATATGAGTTTGAACTTAGATGTGAAAGTGTATTGTTATGGACAAACTACATAGTCAAATACATCTGAACTTAACCATTACAGCGAGTGAGATTAGTAACAATTTTAACCTCATATTAGTTAGTCATTCCATGTACACTTACGATAACCTGAACCAAACTAGCCAAACAGAGAAAGGAAATGCATCAAGATGTTCAATTGTGCATGTTTACTTTTGACAAGTTAAAGCAGGGAGATATTCCTGCAAAACTCAAGCGTCAAGACAATAGACTTGAGATTACCATGGCTCTTAATGAGGCTGATTTGAGTCTTGGTCTGGATGATCATGAACTCTTCGATGGCTCAGCTCTGTAATTTAGCACTCAACCTTGAAACTTCCCACTTCAATCTACTTTAATTAATAATGCAGAAATGACTGCTAGGCAAATAACATAAGATCTCACCATGCCATCAATATTATTGTAGGTCAAATTTCTTCTGTATGAACCAAAGTATTACTACATATTGAATGCTCAGGTATGCAACCAAATAGTTTCAGCTGTGCATCTAATTCTGCCAGTATGAAGTATATTTTGTCAGAATCAGGGTGCGATTCAGCTGAAGCCGAAAATGGATGAATTCTCCCATCCAATTCAATCCAACTTGACCCTGGATACTTCTTTTCGACCCCTTGTTCTTTCATCATTGCTCGGATATAGGCAACCTCCATCCAATGCTTCTCTTCAGCATACATGCTAACCAAGAGATTGAAATGCCCACTGTTCTTGGGCTCCAAAATCAACAACTGTTGAACAGCATCTTTAGCAATTTCTAAGTTCCCATGAAGCTTGCACCCATTTAACAAGGCTCCCCAAATGATAGAGTTTGGTGCAAATTTCATGCTTCTGATTAATTCTAACGCCTCGTCAAGCAAGCCCGCTTTACTCAACATGTTAACCATGCAACCATAGTGTTCAACTTCAGGACGGATGCCATAATCACAAGTCATGCTCAAGAATCTCCTTCTGCCTTCTTCAACTAATCCAGCATGTGTGCAGGCGCTCAAAAGGCTAATAAAGCTAATACCATTGGGAACAATCTTCTCCCTCTCCATTGCGACAAACATCATTAGCGCCTTCTCTGCATAACCATGAACAGCAAGCCCTTCAATCACTGCATTCCAACAATATAAATTTTTATACTTCAATTTGAAGAAAACCAAAAGTGACCTATCTAAGCTCCCACACTTCGCATACATATCAACTAATGCAGATCCAATATAAACATCAAAATTAAGCCCTTGAGACATTACATAATGATGTATCTTTTTTCCTAGTTCAAGAGCCCCAACGTGGGCACAAGATGAAATAACAGCTGCCATTGTTACCTCATCTGGACTAATCCCATTCAATCTCATGTCAAAATAAATCGCCAGTGCTTCATGATATTGCTTGTTTTGGGAATAGCAAGTAATCATGGTTGTCCAAGAGATTATATCCCTGGCTGGCATCTGATTGAACAGAAACTCTGCAGACTCGACATTTCCCAATCTTGCATAGCCATCAATCATGGTATTCCATGTAGCGGTATTTCTTTCAGGCATTTCCTCAAATAACTTCCTAGCCGAATCCATATCCCCAGCACGAACTAGAGCAGAAGCCATAGTGGTCCATGCAAAAGCATCTCTTTCACACATTTCATCAAACACCTTTCTCGATTCACAAAGTTTCCCCAAATTTGAGTAAAAATCAATCAAAGCAGTTTGAACAAACACATGCGATTCAAGCCCATTCTTCCAAATGTGACCATGAATGATTCGGCCTAACTCAACTGCACATAATGAGGTGCAAGCTTTAACTAACGACGAAAATGTATAACTAGTTGGGAAAACCTTAGATTCCAACATATGTACATAACATTGTAAAGCTTGAATCGAGTGACCACAATGCACAAATCCCCTAATCATCGCATTATACACAAAAACGTTAGGATTATCCATCTGGGTAAAGGCTAAAACTGGATAATCTACACGATCAAATGTCAAAGACGCACTAATAAACTGATTCACCAAAAAGCAATCTTGAATTGCATTAGTTTTGATCATTGAAGCATAAACACCATCCAGTTCGCTTATTGTGAAGCAGTTCTTGATTCGATCAAGTAGAGTTCGCTTAAAAGTAGGAACCTCCGGCTGTTGAAGAGGTCTTGAGATTGGAGAATGAACAGAGTTACTAATGCCTCTTGTTATCTGTTTAAGAGCGTTAATAGTCACAGCTGAAAGCATCCCTACAACTATTCTCACCCATTTAACTGAACCATTATGGAGAGTTGAGCGATCGAGAGCTCAACTTTTCTATGCATATTTTGGTATTTTGGAGTGCACCCACAAAGCAGCATGAACTCACCTTCCTTGTTCATAATTCTCTCAATCTCCCGCCCTCTTCCCTACTTAACAAAGAATAAAATTATTACAAATTTTAATATAAGTTAGTAAAAAAAAAAAGTATAAATCTCATTTTCAATATTTTCCAGCAATTTAAAAGCAAACTCATAAAATTTAGAATTTGACCTAACACTAAATAATGATATTTGAACCAAGGAACTCATAATGCCTCAATAAATTCATAATATGTGTCTCAGCTCAACAATAAGTTCAACATATACCCAGCATACGAAATCAACAAAGGCACATGCTTCCAATTCAACAACAGTCACCCAAGTATACAACATGCTATCAATATCACGACATATTGTCTCATGTTAAGACTACAAGTCTACATCAGAACTAAAGAAAATATAGAAGAAGTATCTTGTTGATAGTTACCTCCAATGACAACTTCATCCTTCAACTGCAACTTACTTGAAGATCAGTTTCTAGGCACTTAATAATCTCTGGAAACAATATCTATGAGTATTTTAAAGAAACAACCCAAAAGATTCGAAACTAAAAAAAGGGTGAAAATAATTAGGGCTCCGACAAAAAATTGCTAAAGGTGTAAAATCGAAAGGATATTAAGGCAATTAAATAATAAGATCCTAGGATCTTGACTCAGTAGCTAAACTCCATAATTCACCTAACAGACTAGCCTACTCTCTTGATCTTTTTATTTCATTTTAATACTCTGTGACGCCCATGCACCAGTAGCTTTAACCTTGTGTGGTGTAGTTCCAACTTGATCATCATCCTGCAATTAAGTACTCTTAACATCCAAAGGTGGCAATCAAAATTTTAGAAGAGAAACTCCCAATAGAAACTATAGAAACCATAGAGACTAATTATCTTAGTATATATCAGCACTGATCTTGCACAAAAGTTTAGATGTATTTGGTAAAAGAGCAAAACTTCAACTACAATACCGACATAAAAAATTCTAGAACTCAACTTTTCCACAATAATTCCACAACTCGCAACCCAAGAACTACACCATGCTTTCTATTTTGATCCCATGACCAAGCTTGTATCAATCAATTCACAATGTTCCACCCTGCTAATCACACAATAACCCATCTTTAAACTTAATACAAAAGTTTATATCTAATAGGAAGTTCGTTCAGAGAAAATTTTCCAGATAAAAACAAATGTCCAATACACAAACAACAAGCAACCAAAAAGATCCTAATTCCTAACTAAACAATTGGAACAAGACATATAGAATCCACAACCCACCAGGTTAAACCTTCCAAGAATATATCCAACATAAAGTTGTAAATGAAATTTAGATGTAAGCCACATGTTGTCACATTCAATATAAAGTGATCTCATTTCTGATGAACTAAGAGGACAGATTATAATATCAAAACCTTTCAGTAAGCTTACAGGTAACGTCCAACAATATGGTAGGAATTAGGAAAATCAATCTACCAACGTCTCCTCTTGAGATGTCTACTTGGGTGAAATTCAATTAGAACATAATTACTATTACTGTACAACCTTTGAAGTCTACCTTCTGAAACGAATATTATAAACAAAAGCAAAACTCCTTATAGCAAACAACTTAACAGAGATCGACTATTCGTGAGCCCAACAAGAAGAAGTAGAAATTAGGTTACTCAAAGACCAAGCGGATAAACTCATGTAGCAAACTCAAAAAGTGTTCAGGATGACCATAATTGAAATGGAAAGAGATTTTAAACGAGCCATTATCAGTTGGACCTTACCGAAACAACTTGGGTCTTGGCCGCTGCAGAAAGGCAGTCGGAGGTGGGTTCGGAACACCGGGGTCTTGTGGGTCACGCTCGTGGGTGTAATCGCCGGCGGTGGGGTCCCACTGGGCACTGTTTGGGCCGGCCTTAGGGGGAAATTGGGAAATTGATTTTGGTTTTTTAAGAGGGAGAGAAATATTTGGTGGGAAAAATACCCCGGATCGGAGGTAAATATTTTTCTATTTTTTGTGGGAGATAAATAATATATTAATATAACATGATTTTTTGTTTTACTTTATAAATCTGATTTTTAAATAATCTCGAAGTTTTCCAATTTTGAAGTCTTAATTAATCCGATTTAGATCTAAGGAGAAAAATTACAAAGGATCTTATCTATAAAACGCCGTTAGGTCTGTGGATTGGAGTCCCCACAAATTTAGACGATAGCCAATAAGTATAAAAACTGTGCAAAAATATTATTTTTTATTTTGAAAAAACTTGTATAATTTTTTTTTTCAACTCCTTTATTTAAATAAAATACTGCATGTTTTTTTTTAACTGTTTTTTATCTAAGGAAAAAAAACTTTATTTGAGAAAAAGTATTTTTGAGTTGAAACCCAGTCGTCTGAATAACGATTTTATTTCTTGTTTTTATTTATAATTGTTTTTTATTTTAAAAGAAGAAATTTAAAATTACAGTAAATCTTAAATTTAAATTTTTTATTTTATAAATAATTGTTTTTTATTTATAAAGCATTCGTTGAAAAAAAATTGTAAATCCGCCGAAGGCCTTTATATTTCATATTTTCTTCTTCTTATTTTAAAATTGTCAGTAAAAAAAAAATGGAGAATCATGAGATTTCATTGGACGATCTATAAATTTGATTAAAGATCGTAAAGAGAATAAAATAAATGGATGGATTCGTTCACACATTAACCTATATAACTATGTTATTTATTCATCAAATACATAAAAATTAAATTTAAGATTTAAAGTGGTGTGGGTGAAGAAGCCATAAGTCTTGTATCACAATTTTTGTAAAGCTTCATAGGATTCGGCTTTAAGACTTCGAACTCAGGAAAATCGAACCAACCTGCAAAATCTAGAGCGCACCCCTTACCCATGGCTTTAACAAAGAAGCAACAACTCAGATCCACTTCCTTCTTGTTTATAATGAAGTAATATTTATAAACTTCCACTTGACATTTTTCACTCTTCACTCTAATTATACACCATCTTAGATTTATCTCCCTATCTTCGTCTATCCATCCATTCCATTGGGTGACATATAGTTGTCGTCGTCTACTATTGAAGGTTAACCTAAGGCCAAAAAATTCAGTACCAATAAAAGAACCACCACGAGTACGGATGAAATCTTTTTAATTCCCTTCGTCATTGCTTGGTTTAAAGTTTTTATTCTTTTTTTTTGTTGCTTCTGAACTTGCCTGTGCTTTTTTAAAACACAAAGCTTACTATAGGTGTGATTATACGAAAGGATAAATAATTTATTAAAATCACTTCAATGACAGAAAAAAGAAAGTAACGTTAACCATGCATATGGATGAAATAAATTATTAATCAGGAGTTAAGTGAGATAAGTTTAATTTAAAACCTAAAATTAGAGAGATTATAATATTAATCACATTAAATATATAATATCCATCTTTTCAAATATAGAACTATTTATGCTTACTTGAACTTATCTTAATAGTAATGGACACTTGTTAGTCATAAATTCAAATATCTCACATTCATATATTCTTGCTTAAAAAAAATAGTAAGGCAATAAAAGAAGCTATTCCATTTTTGTTTCTAAAAAAGAAAAGGTTATTCTTTTTTTTTCCTCAACATATTAAAAATTTTACCACTACGTTAAGAACTTAAAAAAGTTTTTTTTTTTTATAATTAATTCAGTAAAGACTTCCTACGTAACTTAAAAAATTTATGGCCATTCATTAAATCAAGGAAAGCACATTAAATTACCAATACCACTTTACTTATATTTTCCATAATTACTGTAAAACCGCCGAGGAGAGAGTGAAAAAATGTACTAAATTGATAAATTGTTGTACATAACTGTTAAATATGCGGAAGTTCAAATACAGGACTACTGGCTCTGATATCATGGTAAGATAAATAAACCACCACTCAAACCAAAAGTTTAAGATAATAGATTGGATTAAATTTAATTCATATATTGGGTATCTAAGCTTGATTGTTGATTTAATCTGTATTACAAATTAAATGAAGGTATTTATTGGTAATGTAACTTCCTAGCTACCTAACTTAAAATTTACACTATTTATTAAAAAAAAAATTCTCTCTTAGCATTAAAGAGATTTTTTAGGATTATTCAGTTATTAATTTAGTTTTTCTGTTACAGTGTCACTTGTATAATGAATGATAAAGAATATGACATGTTATCAAATTTTATTTATACATATATATAGGTTAAAATACTAGTTTGGTCCCTATAATTTTAACTTTCTACTTTCAATTTTAGTTCATTTTAGTCACTTCACTTTTAAAATGTTCATTTTGGTTCTGTAATTTTAAAAAGTGACCATTTTTGCCCTTTAACTTTATTCTTAATCTCATTTTTTATCACACAATTTCAATACGACACTAAAATTAATATATTTCTTAAAATGTAAACATTACATTATATTAAAGAATTTTCATTATGTGTAAAATTTATGTTGAGATTTTGCAAACATGGACTAAAATGATAACTTTTTAAAAGTACAAGGACTAAAATGAATATTTTCATAGTATATGGATTAAAATGAACTTTTTCAAAATATGAGGACTAAATTAATCTTAGAGACATTTATGCAAATATTCTAAAAGTTCTATTACATTAAAGTTTATTTAGATTCAACATCTCAATTTTGATAAAAATCTTCCGTTATTTATTTTTGATGCATTTTAAGTAAAAGAATTGAGAACATAAATTCGTAACTAATTTGAAGTCTTTAATCGCAACAGTAAAAATTATCTATGTGTAATAAAGTCATTTAAATTAGATATTAAAACATATACCACTATGTTTATTTAGGGGCAATAATATCGAGGAAAAATGATGGTTTTTTTCTTCTTCAGTTCAAAACATAGCGAAGAATGTTTCGACAGGGAAGAAAAATAGAATAGTTTACTGTGGGAATATAGATGGATGTTATAATATTTAATGTCATTCATATTATAATCTCTCTAATTTTACATTTTAATTCTTTTTTTAAGAATGATTTTACATTTTAATTCTTATTCTTATCTCACTAAACTCATCGATAATAACTCATTTCATCAATATGCATGGTAAGTAACTTTATGTTACTTTAATTTTCTCTCTTCATTGTCAAAATGAAAATAAAAATAAATTTTCTCTCCATTGAAGTGATTTTAATGAATTATTTATTGTTTCATATTATCGCATCTATAAATAGTTTTGTGAGTTTGTATTTTAAAAAACTAAACACAAACAAGTTCAAAGGTAAGGAAATAGAAAAAGAAAAACAAGGAAAGAAATACTTTCAACCCAACAATGACAACGAGAGTTAACAAGATTGCGTGAGTACTAGTGGTGGTTCTTTTATTGGTACTAAATTTTTCGGCCCTAGGTCAACCTTCAATAGTAGACGATGACAACTACATGTCACCCATATGGAATGGATGGATAGACGAAGATAGAGGAATAAATCTAAGACGGTGTATAATTAGAGTGAAGAGTGAAAAATGTCAAGTGGAAGTTTATAAATATTACTTCAATATAAGCAAGAAGGAAGTGGATCTAAGTTGTTGCGTATTTGTACTAATAACGTAGATATAAAATGTTATTTTTTGGTTAGCTAATAAAATAAAATATATTTTTTTAAATACAAGATAAAATATATGAAAGTACGTAGAGTTGAAAGAAATAAATATAAAAATGAAAAACTATTTTTAATTTATGTCGATGTTAAATTTGTAAATATATGAAAATATGATCCAAATATTAAATGTGGTTTTTCTTTTTTTTTTTTTTAATATAATAAGGTAGATATTGAACTTACAATTTTTTAAATAGTGAAATTTAATACCCGCTACCCATATTTCTCAATTTTGGGAAAGTTTTAAAGTTGTCCAATCGAAAGGACTAAAATCAAAAAGATTAAAGGTGCATTTTTAATTGATTTTGCCACCTGCCAATGTTTGGCAAAAGAAAATTTTTTTCTTTTTAACTATCAATTCATTTAAGACTTTTAAAAATGCGTGCATTATCACGCCATATAAGAAATAACCTTTCTTTTTCCCTGTTTTTTTTTTTTGGCTCTTTATTAAAATAAAGAAAACACATCAAATTACCAATACCATTTTATTTATATTTGCCATAACAATGAAGTTTTATTATTTTTAATTGGCAAAAGAGTATTTTTCAATAGCTCTATTAAATATCTCTTAAAATACTACTACTTTGTAATAAAGGAATCATCTTAAATTTAAACACCATTTTTATTTCATATTTTTTCTTCTTATTTTAAAATTCATCAAACTAAATCAATTCACTTGAAGACCTGAATGATAAGTTCTCAATTTGGTTATTGACTTATAACTAAATCAATAATCTAATTCTAGTGAAATTTTTTAAACCTTCTTATTAACTAAATCAATAATAATAATTACTTTGTGGTCACTTAGCAATAATATTTCTACTGATCATTACCGAAAATTCGAAGATATTTATAACTTTTTCGATTTTGAGTAAACTATTTCTCAAAAAAAAAAAAATTAATAGTACCTATAAAACTATAGATAATTCTACCAAAATGGTAGATAGAGTAATTATATTTTGAACAAAATAGTTTCTCTCCCCAAAACTGGCAACATAATACAAATAAATTAGTTTTATACTGAAAGGTTTAATTTTATAAATTATAATAGTATTTGCAACCTTGTGTGACACAATTATTTACTGGAAAAATCATGTGTTATCTAAAAAAAGCTGAAAAAATCACGTCAAAATCATAACGTGATAATAAATAGGGAGAATTACTGTAATTTAACTCAACTCGTTAAGACATAAATCTTTCATCAATTATATTGCTACAAATTAAATTTGATGTAGCTAAAAATAATACAAACACTATTTTCTAAGTACATCTCTTGACACCTCCTATATTGGACATATAATTTACAATTTTGTTTCGTAAAGTTGATTGTCTTATACATAAATCTAGCTCTAGCCGCCAAACAAATATAAACAGTGAACTCAGAAAAAGAAAAAAAAATGAGAAAATTGCTATACAATAGCAAAGGATCCATTACATTTATTTAGTTCATTTTTAGCATAATCATAAGTAATTTAATGGGATGGATTTGTGTTACTTTTCACTGATGATAGTCTACTTGATAGTTAATTTAATTTAAAGTACGACCCATAACAAAACTTTTTTTTTATTTTTTTAATACAACTTGTGGGGATAGGGGATCAAATTCATAATCTCTTGGTTGAAGATATATGTCAATTACCACTTATGCTCGTTTTGGCGATAACAAAACATTTAAGAGGAGAAAGAGTAAATTAAAATTAGAGTTATAATATAGTGAATAAAAATTTAATTTGAACCCAATATATATTCATTATCATTCTTTTTTTTTTTTACTCGGTCAATTAGTTCAATACCCCCTACTTATTTAAACATAGCTCAACTTATCTCTCAGTTTTTTAAGAAATATTCTGAATCTTATTAATTTTATTTTTTAATACAATATCTGGGAGTGGGGATTTGAATCTATGACTTTTTTATTGTAGATAGGTACCTTGACTCGTTGACTATGTTCAGATTAGTGAACCTTATCAATTAAACTACTAAAATGTACAATGAATTAACTTTGTGATCTATTATTACCACTTCTCTCTGTTCTCCCTTTTTGGCACGTCCTTGAATTAAACAAATCATCTTAAATTAAATTTTAAGATCATTCTTATTTCATAATTTTTCTTATGTTAAATTGGCGGAAGAAAATCAAATCACATTATATATTGAGTGAATCAAACCAAATTGTAATTTATAACTAATGTTATTTGATAGTTCTTCGTTTTTTTTTTCAAAAATTAAAAAAGTATATATATATTTTTATATTTTTTTTCTCTTCTTCCCTGTCAAAACGTTAAATGGTGGTTAGCCAAAGTAGATGTTAATTATTTTCTCTCACCGTACTTCTCAACTACCTCTCATTAATGGAATCCAACTACCCTAAATCTCTCTATTCTTTTGCAAATTAAATTATATTTTTTTGGACATATATTTGATTGTCTTTCTCTCATGCATAAAAATTTATTTCTCTTCCAAAATTTAAAAATATTTATTTATTAACTTAAATACTTATTATATATTTTTACTTTTACCATCTTTTCAAAAATATCTATTGACGTCACTATTTTATTGATATTTCCATCTTTTAAATGGTGTAAATATGAATTTATTTCTCATCCAATCCATAAGGGTTTCTCACGAACTTCAATATCATCAAATCAAAATACCAAAATTGTATTTTCATTAATCTCCATCACCTTCCACTATTCGCAGCAAGCCTTTTTCTCATCTTTACAAAAAAAAAAAAATCTCATTATTTGATTAAGTATTCTCCTGCCTCTTCATTAATGCTTTATTTCCTTATTAAAAACAATCATTTTTATTCATCAACTTAAAATTAATCAAATTTAATTTCAAACTGTTCGTTCAAATCAATTATTTTTTGACAATAATTATGGAGATGGAAGATCAATGTTCTTTGAGCTAGTTGCTTAGCCAACCTAGGTTGGCTTGAATTTAGACTTGAGTTTAGAAAAATGTTGCAGGGTATATCTTTTTGTGTTTGTTTTGTTTTTTTTTGGTACATTTACCCATTAATTTAAACAGAAAAAAAATTGTCAAAATTGATCCAAATACGCGAGTACAAGAAAAATAAATTATTTCACAAAATTAAGTAGGATCAGTGCACACAATCGAAAACATCGATCCAATAAGTTTCTCAAAATTTACAAATTTCAACATAAATCCAATTTTGTGGCTTTTAAGTAATTGCATAAGTTTTTGAATAGTTCTGGATAGATTTTGTGGTAGTTGCTTTATGTCATTTGTTTTTTGTTATTGTCGGGTTTGAATGAGGAAAACATAAATATTTTTATGGTTCAATTTTATGAAATTAGTTGGATTTTTTAGTTTTTATTCTCTATATGTTTATTTGACAAAGGAGGTGTGTGTTTGTAAAATTGGTTTAGTATATTTGTTTAATTTTGTCTATTAGTGTAGACTTTAATACTTGTACTACAACAATAGTTGATGCAATTCTTTGTACAAGATTGATGCAACGATATATGGTGGAAACATATTTTGAAACCTTCGCTCGATTGGGAGGGAGAATGTTATTTGTAAATTTAGGTAGACATTTTGTTGTTTTAATTTGGAGAAACTTGTATATGTTTTCAATGACATATATTGTTTAATGAAATTTGTATTATTATCTAAGTAATTTTGCAAGTTGAACGTTTTAAATTTAGCGATGAATTTTGATGTCGATTAGACATTTGCGTTGACTTTGCATAATAAGGAGAATTAAAAGGAAAAAACAAGGAAAACATGCAAATAAGAAAAATTGTAATAGGAAATATGGTCAGATGCGATGAAGGCGTTTTCGTCGCAGAAGGGCAAATGCGACGCAAAATATTTACGTCGCATATGCGACGAAAACGAGCTTTCGTCGCAAATGCGACGAAACATACGTTTTGTCGCCAATATGCGACGAATGCTGGTTTTCGTCACTTTACATGTTCAGCGACTCAGTTTTAGCGGCGAAAATTGCGACGAAAATTTTTTCGTCGCCGATGCTCTTCAGCGACGAAAATTTCGTTTCAGCGATGAAAATTTTTCGTCGCTGAAACCCCTAATTGTTGTAGTGTCAAATTTTTACTTGACCTATGTTTTATTATTCATTAAGCCCTCATGGAAAAAATATTTAAAAATAAATTCTACTAGAAGTCAAAGTTTTGATAGTTATTCAAGTTTAAATTAAAGAGATTATAAAGTCTAAGCATAAAATGAATAAGGTAACCATAACTATCCAAAAGGTTAAATATTTGATCCACACTCTTATAATCATTGAACTCAAGAAAATAATAATAATAATTGTAATTACAACACTCATCCAAGTTAAAGTTAAATCTATCAATTTATAGAGTAAATGTTCAAAATTTCCTTTTGGGAAAAGATCAACATATATCTTTAAATTGGCAAGGTGTTTCAATTTATACTTTACCCTAAACTTTTAATTTCATAAAATTGGAGCTTAAAATTGGATAAATGTAGCTCATTGGTAGTTTTTTTTTTTTTTTTTTGTTGGAATTTGTATTGTGGGGTTACTTAATGGTTGATTTTGAGCCTTCATCAGACCTAATTTGTCCAAAGTGTGATTTTGGTTTTGAATTCTTTTATTAAAATTAGAGAGTGAATTTGTAAAAATTAAATAAAGGATAACAATTATAATATTTATTTAAATTTAAGGTCTAATTTGATGAAATATAAAATTTAAAGAGAAAATTCATACGACTCATCACTAAAAAAAAGGGATATTTTCCTCTCTTTATAAATTTTCCTTATCATTCTTCGTTAATGCCTAGCAGTCTCCTCCCTCCCTTAAGCTAGCTTTGGGACCACTATAATTTTATGAATATATTTTTTTTCTCTCTTCTTTTTTTTTTTTTAATGTTAGTTTCAAGATCTTTAGAGGGAAAAAATATTATATTTTGATTTACTCAATTTTACTTTCAAAATTTTAATTTCATCCAATTAAATTCCATAATAAAACACTTGCTCCAAATTTACTGCCAAAAAAGTTGAACACAACAACCAATTACTTTAAATTGGGTATTAGCTTTTGTGATTAGTTTGGAAGGAAAAGTAAATAAATAAATAAAAAGAAAAAACTGTATGGGTCACATGCATTGATCTTTCCCAGCAGTAGCAGTTGTCTTTTTGGATAATATAGCTTTCCCAATACATAGCAGAAAAAAGAAGATTAATTATTCTGCAGCACAAAATGGTAAGGATAGATTACAGGTTATTTAATGCCTTTTAAATATAGAAAATATGTTGAAAATAAATATATCTATACCTATGACCTACATGGCATGCAATGGGTGGAGGATTAAGGCTAACTCTTTCTTTTTTTCAAAATTTGTCAACTAAAAATCTCATTATTCAACTTTCAAATGAAAACCAATCCAGAAATCCACTATATAAGAATGATTCATCCCAGTGGTGGAGGCAAATAGAAGAAAACTCAAGTGAAAATTAGTGTTTGTGGGCTGCTTCTCTTTCTGTGAGTTTCTGAGAAAGAGTAATCTGAGTTCTTTGATTAAAATGGCGGATTTCATCTCCTCTCTCATCCTATTATGTTTCATCCTCATGTGTTTCTCCGAGGCTACTTCTCCCCCGGATAATATTTTTATTCTTGGTGGCCAAAGCAACATGGCTGGTCGAGGTGGTGTCACATGTGACAATACGACGATGCACTACTGTAAATGGGATGGGTATATCCCGGTCGAGTCTCAATCTGAAACATCGATCATTCGATTCACTGCTGGACGCCAATGGGAATTAGCCCATGAACCACTACATTGGGACATTGATCGGAAGAAGACCAATGGAGTTGGCCCCGGCATGGCTTTTGCAAATGAGCTGTTGGCCAAAGCTAACAAGAGCATTGGAGTTATTGGTCTCGTTCCTTGTGCCATTGGAGGAACCTACTTGAGAGAGTGGGTTAAAGGGACCATTAACTATACCAAATTGGTTGATCGGATCAATGCTTCCGAAATATATGGAGGGAAAGTTCAAGCATTTTTCTGGTTCCAAGGAGAGTCTGATGCTTCGGTGAGAGTAGATGCAGAGTTTTACAAACAAAACCTCGCAAAGTTCTTAACTGACCTGCGGAAGGACTTGAACCGCCCAAAACTGCCCATCATCTTAGTTCGTCATCTTCATCTCTACGATCTCTTTCTAAAATTTGTGTTTTTTGACCCTGAAATTTACATTTATTTTACACAATATGCAGGTGAAGATAACAACGTATGATACTCTCATAAGTCCAATCATGAACTACACACAAGTTATAAGGAGGGCTGACGAGGCAGTGAAACACAAACTACCTAAAATAAGTACCGTGGATGCTAAGAAAGCTATTCAACGTGTTGTCAGTCACCAAAAACCTGGCCTTAACGAAGATAAAGGCCATCTTAGCGTCTACTCAGAGGTGGAAGTGGGCAAAATGTTAGCTCACGCTTATTTGCAAAAATTTGCCTAATTATTTCCTAAAAAAACATGGCACTAATGTTTTTTTTTTCCATCAACTCTCATTTGAAGTCTAAGTATGTATTTTGTTTAGTTCAACAATGGCATGTACGAGTGATGGTTGAACCATTAATTTTAGAATGATAGTAAGTACCGTTTATCTATTGAGTTGTGTTTTGATCAACGAAATCTATGTATGTGTCATTGAAGGAATGAAAAAAAAAATCATAGACGGTGTTTATTTAAGTATCAAATATAAATTACTTAACAATAAAAATATGAGTATATATGAAATTTAATATCCTCACTTACCTTTCTTATTAGCAAAAGACTTCTAAAAAGACGTGAAAAAAAATCATCACACCATCTGAAAAGTATCATTTTTTTTTCCTTGTTCATGGCCCTTTATTAAAATAAAGCACATTAAATTACCAATACTATTATATTTATATTTACCATAATTACTGTAAAATCCCCCAGAAGTGGTGGAAAGAAAACCATACTAAGTTGATAAATTATTCAATTATTGTACATAAATTTTAAATAACGTCTTTAATCGTGCAGAAATCATCTACGTGTAATCAAGACACAAATAAACTAGATACTAAACGTATTTTATGGGCATTCAATTGATTTTTATTCGTAACTTCTTTATTAAAATAAGGATATTTATCGAGGAAAATGAAAATTCTTTAATTATAAATGTAGCTAACAATACGTTTTGAAAGAAAAAAAAAAAGAATAGTCTTACTCTATTGAAAAGACGTTATAATATTGAACGTTTTACTTTCAACCAAGCAATGACAAAGGGAATTAACAAGATCACATCAGTATTAGTGGTGGTTCTTTTATTTGTGTCAAATTTTTCGGCAATCTAAGACGGTGTATAGTTAGAGTGAAGAGTGAAAAATGTCAAGTGGAAGTTTATAAATATTACTTCAATATAAGCAAGAAGGAAGTGGATCTAAGTTGTTGCGTATTTGTTAAAGCCATGGGCGAAGGAACCAAGCAATGACCTTTATAGTCAAGATGACTTAAGAAAATCTTCTTTTTTTTTTACCCTTTTCGTTGGCACGCTTCTGTGTAGAAATACAAGAACCATCCATAAAATGATTGTTATAATTACACCTTGATCAAACTTTCAATTACATAAAATTAAACAGTTAAAACTTTGACAAATGGAAAAATTACACCCCCTACATCATGAAAGGTAAAAATTAAACCCTGAGTGAAAAAATTGAACACCTAAAATTTTTTATTGTAAAGATTAAATTAAATTTATTTTACTCTCGTTTTTTCTACTTTTTCTTCCATGTCCCCAAATCTTAAGAAAGAAGAAATTTTGAAGAAAAATATTATGACACTTGGAGTGGTAGTTTAATTTTCCCATACAAAACCAATTGACAAGGAGAGAAATAACTCATATCTATTATAAATCCTTGTTAGGTCTCATCTCTTTTCAATG